GACTCAGGGCATGATACTGCATCGATAGATGCCCTACTTTCTGAAACCCATGACGCCTAAGCAGACAAGAAAACCCAGGGCCTACTACAAGCAAGCGCGGCCAGACTGGGAGGCACTTCTCGGCGGGGTTTACACAGACATTGATCCAGACAATGTATCCGGATCTCCACCCTGCCTAGCGGACCAAATGCCTGCCATGGGGCGACGATCCCAGAGAGTCAGCACCCAGACAGTCAATAGAGACATTGGGGCCATGATGTGAGGCCCAAAACGACCCCACGAGGCGACCAAGCAGCTACTACTCAACCGGCTCATGCCAAACAGCCGGCCCGGAAAGAGCTAACCACCACAATGTGCTATCGGCACACCCGGAGGGATCACCCCCCCCCCCCCCCACCAAACATGATCTGCAGATCCTACTGCATGATTTTCACAAAATGCAGGCAATGGAACTGGCAGGGGTCAGAGCCGATATATGTTCCACAACTAACCGGTGCGTGCCACAGAATATGACATAATAATAGACAATACTAACGGTCCAAGACTCGGTGCAACAACTGCAAAAATCACACCACAACCTCTCCTTACACCTGAATGCACTAGAGAACAGTCACTGACGCAATAACATCAAAATCCACGGTATCCCAGCCACTGTCACGACCAAAGAGCTGCCGCACTATATGAAAAAGGCTACTGGCAACCATAGTACCCCCAGCTGTGGCCAGGAAACTCATCATAGATGAGTCCACCCAGAAGCACCTCACAAGTTGCTTGCATCATCATCTTACGCTGCATGTAATCCCAGGATAGGGGGCACATAATGACTGCGTCAAGACCACATTGTCGTTTGAAGAACGACATCTTTTTATCAAGATTTGACAAGGGCCACCCTTCAGTGGCGCAGGTTGCTAAACCCAGTAATCCTATTAACTATAATTAATTGTCATAATTTCAATAGGACAAAATAGACAGCACATTCTTTACAGTGGGTTATTACATCGATATTATTTTAAAGTCCTCACTATATTCTGAAGAAAAATTAATAATACAAAAAATGCAGACACTGATAAATCAGAGATCTGGGTGGTAAGGGACAAACTCATTCTGTAGGCATTGTGTCATGAGAAGCAAAGGGAAATCTTAGTTGATATTTTTGAGTTTGTTTGTGCTGTCTCTAAATGAGTAGCAGACATGCATTCCAATGACTCTGGGGGAATGAAGAGAATATTTCAGGCTGAAATGCTATTTCAGACTCCCTCGTAGCTTAATGTTGTACATTCAGTTTGCACAAGTGTGGGAGACAAGTGACCATTAAAGAGGTAACTTTTAGAAAGGATTCAGTAAATATGTTACAAAACAACCACTAAACTTGTTTAACCTCTGCCTTTATTAGAGAGGCAACATATAAGGGAGGTTCCAAATATGGAATATGTCCAGTCCATTCTATAGACAATGCTAAAAAAATAAAATTCAATATGATACTTTTAAAGGTCCTGCGTACTCTGCAAGCAATCCTGGATTACCACTCTCTCCCGAAGTGATCTCTGACCTGGCTAAACAGTAATTGACACCTGTTAGCCAATCCAAGTGTGATAGTTGGACAATTTCTCCATATCAGTTTGCCTAAATTTTACAAGTTAATACCCCTGACTGCCAAGTAGCCAAACTGAAAAAAAAAAATTACTATTAAGTTATATTTCCAGTGTGTCTTTTTGGGTTTAAAATGTTTAATCTCCACCATTCACAGTGAATGATTCACTGTTTATCAAATAAGCCCCATGGGTGTGAGCAGGGCCGGATTAAACGCCTCATGGGCCCAGAGCTGAAAGTTTTGATGAACTTAATCACTGCTGAAAAAAAAAAAAAGATTGGTTGACTCATGACAACGTGCTGTAGTAACAAAACAAAGTTAATTTAAAAATCCTTTTTGCAGATATTACTCACTCATGAGTACTTAGGGAGCTAAGTGTAAAAATAAGCGAAACTCTGTTTTTAATCTTTTAGAATTATTTTCTTTCAGGAATTGTACCAGATAATTGGATCAAGGCAGCAGTGGTTCCACTACTGACAATGCAGATGGTACCCTTCATTGGGACCGGTATGCTGGAGGTCCTGATCAGGTGGCACATGCACTTCGAGCCACCTGATGGGTATTATTGCTAAACAGGGGCCTGGTAGCACTCTTAAAGGGCTGTGGTACCCGACCAACCCTTTCACATAGGCCATCTGGGAGGAAGGGACAGCTTGGTACAGAGCGCGTGGGAGGGAAGAGGCACAGGCAGCAACTTGAGGAAGAAAAGCAGGAGTGAGCCTCTCACTCGCTCCTATCATCCTCAGCCAGCAGGACCCCAGGCAAGCCACTCTACTGCACACATAAAGTTAAGCTAACACAAGGGTGGCTGCAATTATTTTTTAAAAATTGTATGTCAGATTGTGTGTGTGTATGTGTCAAGGTATGTGTATGTCAGTGTGTGCATGTGTCAGTGTGTGTATCTGAATGTGTGTATGTAGGTGTCGGTGTGTTTATATGTGTATGTATATGGCAGTGTATGTGTATCCAAACTATTAACCCCTTAAAACCGGAGGATGTACAATTACGCCCTATTATAGGCGGCTCTAAACATCGCCGGGCGTAATTGTACGCCCTCCGGTTTTTGTTAACTTACCCGGTCGCCGGCGGTCCCACGCCGGCGATCGCGGTGGGGGGGACTCCCAGGGAGCCCCCCGCGGCAGATCCTTCTCCTCCGGTGCTCCCCGGCCGTGTGAGAGTGGGGTCCTAGCGAGGACCCCACAATCACATGGCCGGGGATAGCTGGCTGCAGCATTGCCAGCAGGGGGGCTGCCTGTAATGACAGGTGGTCCCCCTGCTGGCTGAAAATAAAATTAAAAAAAGTTAATCAGTGTAAAAAATAAATAATATATACTTAGATCATATGTATATATTATATACATATGATCTAAGTATATATATACACATATACATACACACATGTACACCGTCTAGGTATATTTTACTATTAATATAGATATAATTATATATATATATTAATATCAAATTACACGTAGACTGATACTGATTAAATATATATATAATTATTGTTATATATATATTTATATATAATATAAAAAAAATAAAAATGTAAATACGTTAAAAAATAAAATTAAAAAAATAATTAAAAATAAATAATTAAAAAATATATAGATGTGTGTTATTTCGTTCTAACTGTTTTGTGAAATTAATATATATATATATATATATATATATATCAAAATACACGTAGAACAAAATAATATATATATCTATATACATAAATATATACGTATATATCACTATATATATACTTATATATAAATAAAAATATTTAAAAAAAATTATATAGATATATACATATATATACACATATGTATATATATACATATATTAATTCTACATATATATTTATGTAATATTTTTACATAATTAGGTATCTTAATTAATTACAATTAGCAGGACCTGCCTGACAACCCATGCCGAAAGTAAAGGGAATTTAATTTGCTAGCACTATATTTAACCCTATAACTTTCCAGACACCATAAAACCTGTACATGGGGGGTACTGTTCTACTCGGGAGACTTCGCTGAACACAAATATTAGTGTTTCAAAACAGTAAAATGTATTACAACGATGATATCGCCAGTAAAAGTGACGTTTTTTGCATTTTTCACGCACAAACAGCATTACACGGACAATATTATTGCTGTGATACTTTTTACTGTTTTGAAACACAAATATTTGTGTTCAGCGAAGTCTCCCGAGTACAACAGTACCCCTCATGTACAGGTTTTATGGTGTTTTCAAAAGTTACAGCGTCAAATATAAGGCTTGCGTTTCATTTTTTCACATTAAAATTCGCCAGATTGGTTACGTTGCCTTTGAGACCCTATGGTAGCCCAAGAATGAAAATTACCCTTATGATGGCATACCATTTGCAATAGTAGACAACCCAAGGTATTGCAAAGGGGTATGTCCAGTCTTTTTTAGTAGCCACTTAGTCACAAACACTGGCCAAAATTGGCATTTTTTGCATTTTTCACACACAAACAAATACTAACACTAACTTTGGCCAGTGTTTGTGACCAAATGGCTACTAAAAAAGACTGGACATACCCCATTTGCAATACCTTGGGTTGTCTACTATTGCAAATGGTATGCCATTATGGGTGTAAATTTCATTCCCGGGCTACTATACAGTCTCAAAGGCAACGTAACCAATCTGGCAAATTTCAATTTCAAATGTAACGTGCTATATTTGACCCTGTAACTTCCCAAAACGCCATAAAACCTGTACATAGGGGGTACTGTCTTACACGTGAGACTTTACTGAATATAAATATGTGTATTTTATTGCAGTAAAAGCAAACAGTATTATGACATTGACCGTTAAAATGTCATGTAGAACTAAAAAAATCAAAAAAAATCGTATTTTCTCCCATTTTTTTCATATTAAATTATGTTTCATAGCTAAATATTTGATATTAAATGAAAGCCCTGTTTCCCCTGAATAAAATGATATATAATAAGGGTGGGTGCATTTACTATGAAAGAGGTGTATTACGGTTGGACAGACATGTAGCGCAAATGCCAGGTTTTGTTTACATTTTGTTTTGTTCACAATGTGTACATTTGGCTCCGTCCTTAAGGTGTTAAACACCAACCCCCGACTGTGGCTGCACGTCTCATACCGATCTTACTACAGCCCGTCACCCTCCCTTTGGACCGGTGGGGGATATCCCGGTCCCCGCTGGGACACTTATCTCACTGCTACAGCAGATCCGGAGAATTTTAATGACCTCCTACTGCAAGGCGAATCCAGCATGGTGGACGCACTAAAACAATGCCTGAACCAAACGAGTCTGGAGGTACAGAGATGGAGGGAAGCTTTTGAGGCCAAGTATGACAGAATATGCCAGGAGTTTTGTCAACATGTAAACAGCCGACCAAAAGCTGCTCCCTTGCCTGTGACACAGCCAGCTCCTGCGGCCATTCAGGCTCACTGTTCCTCATCTGGGATCTGAGCCCACGTGGAGCTGTGCTTACAAAGCCGTCCACGTGTCCGACGGGCACCCAGACGCAAGAAGACTCCCAAAGCATGCAATCTCTCCAAGGGGAGAAAGAGGATCAATGGATACCAGGCACCGGCTCCCAGGGTGGCCTGGGCTTGAGGTGGCGTGCGGGTATGGAAGAAGGGACTGCACCTATCACTGGTATCTGCAACTCAAGCCGAGGTACCCCTATATTATATGCGGATGGCAGGAGGAAAAGCACTGCCTGGTACCAATATACCCTTCCTAATCTGGCTCATTAGTGGCACAGGCTGATTGGAGCAGGAGGGATCCTCGATTAACTCTGCACCTGACTCTAACCACTGCAGTGTTGTTGTTTCTTTTCGATATTCACAAGATATTAGCTCTCACCCAGCGCACCCACATCTTGTTAGACATTGAAATTGCTATTTGTTTGTCTACTTCTTCCTATATAAATATCAATTTAAGTATTTAAGGATTCTAAGTATTTACCAACTACCTACCTGTCTAGCTTGTACAGCAGGTTTGCATAAACGATATAAAATTGAACTACCACCTAGCTTGTTTATGATCAGCTTACCCCTTACTACATAGTTAGACATGTCTTAATTATCTAACACTCATGTGTGTTATACTACTATTTAAAAAAAAAATGTACAACTGTTCCCTATGCCATGTTATTGTATGCTTTTGAAATGCTTCTTACTGCTTTTGTGGCATTGCAAGCATGATTGTTATCCCCTGCACAACAAAAATAAAGAATTATAAAAAACAAAGTGGTTCAAAACCCCAGACCAAGTTGTCCGGAAACTGCACGGTCAGCTAATGCCAAAAACAGTTCCATAATATTCGCGGCTAAGTACCGCTGAGGTGACCGGGGAACCACAAAGTCCTCATAAATTAGTTCCATAGTGGTCGCAGCTTAGTACCTCTGAGGACCATTTGTGGGTTTCTTCATGCGAACTTCTGCCAGTGAGCTAGAGTTCGGGAAAGTGCCGAACCAGTGGCACCGAGGGATCATAGTCGGTGGGCAGGAGGCCAGTTTTCACACTCCTCCAGGAGTTTGTGGCAAATGTTCCAATATACAAACACCCTTTCATTCAAACATCAACACTACACACAAAAGCACATCTGCATTTAAAAGCCAACACTACATATAAACACGCCCTTGCATTCAAATGGAAACACTACACACAAGTACACCACTGCATTCCAATGGCAACAGTACATAAAAATACACATGTACATGCACATATACTCTATACAAAAACATGTGTACATTCAAACGCACAAACTCTGCTCACAAAAATAACCCTGCAAGGATGGGCAAATGGTAGATCTACAGCTGGCATAGCATCATTGGAGTTGTACAACAGATGGGATCTACCTTTTGGCCACTCTTGCACTAGAGGGGGGGCAAAAAATATTCTTCCACCAGGTCTCACTCTACATTAGTTCTGCCACTGAAAGCCTTGAAATTAAAGACCTGTGAACTTAACATCTCTAACTGGAAAAAAATTGAAAGGTTTTTTAAGAGATAATTAGGATTTCATTGGGAATAAGATTGACATCAGCAGAAATCTGCATTGTTTTATGAAAGATCCTGTCAAACTAAAAATTGGTCTACTCAAATATTCTTGTTTTAAAACATTGTCTTCAAAAAAGAATACAAACATTTGTCATTAATGGAACATTTGTAAGCTGGACACAAGTGTCCCCGAGGGGTCTGTTCTGGGACCCCTTTTTTAAATGTTTTATATATATGATCTTCAAACAGGCATAAAAAGTCATGCATGTGTAAGGTAATGCAATGTGAGCAGGATATGCAGAGGGATTTAGATAGATTAGGGGCTTGGCACTCAAATTGCAGATGAAGTTTAAAGTAGATGCAACATTATGCACTTTGGGTTGAGGAATTCACAAGTGACTTACACTCTAAATTATAGTGTGTTAGGGGAAAACAACAGATTATATGAATTTGGGAATTGTTGTAGACATCAAACTATGTCAATCAGCGGTTGCTAGGCAAGTAAGGTGTTGTCACGCATAAAAGGGGGCATTAATTCTCAAGACGAAATTATAGTTTTATCCAAAGAAAAAAGTTACCTGCGCTCTTCCCAAACCCCTAAGCATATTTAAACAAATGGAGGTTATTTAATTACTCAAATGGCCATGGGAGGGATACCTACCTGCCATGTCAAGGCAAACCTCTTAGGTGGGCCCTACACTGACTATTCATTGTAGGGCCCACTTCCTTGAGCTTCTAGCAAAGATTTCTCTAATGAGACAAAGAGGGGTATTTTTATAAACCCCTACATGCTTATTAACCCTTAACAGGGAACACATGGGGTGGGAGGCAGCATTGTAACATAGCTGTGTGATACAAATGTGAATACAAATACACAAAAACAAGTGGTGCGTTCAAACTCCCATCACTCCTGGGCGGCAGCAACGACCATAGTACACATCATACAACCAAAAGAAAAAAGTTAACTGCACTCTTCCCAAATCCTTATGCATATTTAAACAAAATTATAGTTTTGCCTCTTTATAAATCAACAGTAATATCACACCTTGAATATGCCTTGCAATTTTTGACACCTGTTCTAAAGAAAATGTGCAGAGGCAGGCTACAAAATGAATAAGCTGAAAGTGAGATAAGCGGAAGATTTAAGTTATGATAAAAGGCTAACAAACCATTGTCCGGAATTATTTCCTAAATAGGACACAAGGTCATCCATTTACACTGGAAGAAAGGAGATTTAGTATAAAGAAACGGGAAGAATGATAATGATGTGGCATTTTCTGCCCGAAGAGGCGGTTTTATCAGAGCTTGTAGAGATTTTTAAAAAGGAAAAGGATGGAATTCTTGCTTAAACATAATATACATGGATATAATATTTGATCTGTGGGTTAATAGCTTCTTGACCCAAGGAGAAACGTGCATTCTGGGGTTGAGAATTTTTTTTTCCTAGTTTGCAAATTTGTAAAGTGCTTCAAGCTGGATTTTTTGCCTTCAGATGTGCAAAAGGCTGAACTTAATGAATGAAAGTCTTTTTTTTCAGTCTATGTTAAAGGGACACTCCAGGCACCCAGACCACTTCTGCCCATTGGAGTGGTCTGGGTTCCAACTCCCACTACCCTTAACCCTGCTAGTGTAATTATTGCAGTTTTTTATAAACTGCAATAATTACCTTGCAGGGTTAACTCCACCTCTAGTGGCTGTCTACTAGACAGCCACTAGAGGGCACTTCCGTGTCCATAGCACAGGAAACCTGTGCTAGAGCTTCGCTGGACGTCCTCACGCTGTGTGAGGACCTCCAGCATCGCTCAATTCCCCATAGGAAAGCATTCAATGCTTTCCTATGGAGAGATCTAATGCGCATGCGCATTAGGTTTCCTCAGCCGGCGGGCGGAATCAGTCTCGCCCACCGGCTGACGTAATCACCAGTAGGAGCGGCGGTGAGCAGAAACCACCACCGAGGGACATCGGCGGGGTCTCAGGTAAGTGACCAGTAGGAGCGGCGGTGAGCAGAAACCACCACCGAGGGACATCAGCGGGGTGACAGGTAAGTGACCTAAAGGGGTTTTCACCCCTTCAGCTACCGGGCATGGGTGGTGGGAGGGAGAGGGGACCTGCAGTGCCAGGAAAACGGATTGTTTCCCTGGCACTGGAGAGTCCCTTTAACCACACAACCATCCTTTTATTCTGGTCTTGTTTTCCACTTGTCTCTTTCAAAATCTCCTTAACATACTCCCATATACACTGCACAATACTGGGAGCTCTATAATCTCTCATTACCCACTGCACAACAATGGAGTGTCTGTAATTCCATCAACACACTGCACATGTCAGTTGCCCCCACTTCCTTCTCATTTTTTAAAATTTACGTTATAACTCATTCACTGACCCTCTACCGACTGAGTTTGGAGTTGAACCCTACAGAAGCATTTTATGATTAGCTTGCCTCAACTTATCAACCAATGCATCTCCTTTGACCTGCAACTCTCATCAACCTCAACCAGAATCAATGGAGAGACATGTTACTTTAATAACTTACCATGGGGTAGCTGCATCCCTCTCCTCCCAGCAGTTTCTAGCAGCATGCCCATGCCCTCTGCATGCACTCTGATTGGCTGCAGACTGCAACAACATCGCCCTATTGACATCAGAAGACTAGCCCTAGTCTGCTGCTCATTCTCAGCCACTTTTTAATTATCAATGTCAACTTCGTCCAAGATGGAAGGCAGTGATTGGCTAAGAGTGTTGAGAGGTGTTTTATACAACACAAAATACAATGCATGATCTGTCATGGCTATGTTGCTTAAAATTTCCAATATGTCTTTACCTCAAAAGAAACTCATACCTCCCAATTGCCCCTATTTAGGAGGGACAGTCCTTATCTTGAGCCCATAGTCATCTGTCCCTCTTTTCTAGGAACCACATATTGTTGGTGTGTCTAAGTGTATAACAGAGCTCCACAGCAATAATACTCCCAGTGATGTGTCTTTAAACTACAATAAATGTGTTAGAAATCAGTCTGTGTAAATAAAATACACTGTTCTAGTTATAAATTACATTTTAGCTACATAATTTGTAACAAATATGTCACCTAAAATTTCTTAGAACAGCCCCACCCCCTGACCAAATTCCTACTCATAACCCTATATTATTTAGTGTCCCTCACTATACATTTCAAATTTTGGGAGGCATGGAATCTGTATTGCTTTACATTACCCCCCACGGTAAATGAAAGCAGTTGTATCTTTAAATTAATCAGTAGATTCATATATTAAATATATATTGCTACCTCTGACACTTGCCCCTTGAAGTAAATTGTAAGTAGGTCCCTTTGAGTAAATGTGGTTACATTTGAGTAAATGAGGTTAAAGGGACACTATAGTCACCAGAACAACTACAGCTTAATTGTTGTTCTGGTGAGTATAGTCAGCCCCTGCAGGCATTTTAATATAAACACTTTCTTTTCAGAGAAAAGGCAGTGTTTACATTAGAGCCTAGGAACACCTCCAGTGGCCACTCCTCAGATGGCCGCTGGAGGTGCTTCCTGGGTCAGTGATGCACTATGCTGTGCAACACTGACGTTAAGCGTCTCCACGCTCTGCATAGAGACACTGAACTTTTCTCATAGAGATGCACTGATTCAATGCATTTCTATGAGGAGATGCTAAACGTCCAGGGTCGTGTTTGGCACTGTGGGAAAGCATTGCATTGGCTGAGATCATCAATTCTGATGATGTCAGCCAAAGAGGCAGGTCCGGGGCAGGCCAGCAGACTGGAA